CATCAATTGGACTGCCTTGAAAGTAAATTCAGACTACATTTAGACTACAGGTTGTTCACTGTGAAATTATGACTGGAAGCTTCTACACCTAGTAGCAAAGTGGGGGCATGAGAAAAGCTTTAATTTTCTGATACTTTGCGATAGCCCACAAACCAAAATTAGCGACTTCAACTGGCAGCTCTGTTGTGCAGCTCACAATTCTCTGTCTTGAGTGAGATCAGCTTCCTAGCATGTCAGTTTGACTTAATAGGGATCTCTCAGGGAGCTGAGGCTGATAGTGGCTGGAGCTGGTGCCTAGCAAATTCTCTCTCTCTCTCTCTCTCTCTCTCTCTCTCTCCTTTCTCCTGATTGCTGTCCCACCAACCTTCTCTCTTTGTAGTCCTAAGGCCCCTTCTACTTTACATAGCTTCCCTAGATTTTCTCTCAACATGATGAACATGGTCCCAAGTCAGACTTGTTTCATGACGTCTGTGGATATCCAAAAATGCTAAAGAGGAAGTTGTGTTAGTTTTAGTTACAGCCTTGGGAATGCACATTGCTAATTTCACTGCATTCTGTTTATTGGTTTATTCTGGGTAATTTTCTGGATTCTACTAGAAAACTACTTCCCAGATTGAGACATTTGGTAGCTAAAGTCATTGTCCATCACCTCCTACTTGACAATGTTAAAGGAATGCTTTTGCAGGAACAATCTTCCAGACACCTTAGGCCTACCATATACATGTGTGGAGCTCTGGGCCTCAGCAAAAGAAATCAGTCTCAAAGAAAGTTGCCTGAACTTGAAAGAAGTTCACAGGAGGAATGAGAATGGAGTTCTAAAGGAACATGGGACACATTTATAAAAATATTATTATATTTGTAAAAATAACAGAATGAAGACTCACTCTAGGGGAAAAAAGTTCATCCAAATCTTAAATTACCCTCTACTCTTCCCTTGGACCCATGGAATAGCTCGTATGCTAAATTTTGTTTTAATTATATCTGTGTGTTTAAAAGAATTATTTTCCAACAAGACTTATTTCTGTGAAAATCACATTGTTTAACTTTATCTGAAAAATTATATTAATGGAAGTATATTATATGTGCCCTGGTCCACTAACTTTGCATTGTTTTCACATTAATATGCTTACATGTGAAGCTGAGTTCATTGGTTTTACTGTTTTTACAGCATTTAAACCTATTTATTTGGTTTTTATTTGAAAGGCAAAGTTGGAGAGAGAGATGAGAGAGAGGGAGACAGAGATAGAGAGGGAGTGAGCGATTGAGCAAGAGAGAGAATCTTTCATTTGCTAGTTTACTCCCCAAATGGCTGTACCCAGGCTTAGCCAGGTTACAAGGTTCCAAAGCCAGGAACCAAGAGCTTCTTCCAGGACTCCCATGTGGGTATGGTAGCCCAAGCATTTGGGCCATCTGTCACTGCTTTTTCCAGGCCATTAGCAGGGAGCTGAATTGGAATTGGAGTAGCTAGAGTCTCCAACCAGTTCCCTATGGATTCCAGTTTCACAGGCAGAGGTTTTTTAAAATAATTTAAGTGTATTGTATATAATCCATTTTGTGGCTTTAGAAGATTTTTGTGAGTGTTTCAAAAAACAGAAGATCATGCATAGCATCGCTTTTTGGGGGGTAGGACTGGGAATGCAATTCTATGGCAGCAGAAATGAGGAAGAAAGGAAAGGGAAACAAGTTTTGAGACAAGTAAAATTTGGGCAATATTATATTAGTCAGAAGTTCAAAAGTAAAGTCCTATAGTTTGTTTCTAGACAAGCTGAAATCCTCCACTATGACTCAAGCATGATATGTGGGGTAATGAGCTAGGAAGAACAAACAGTTCTATCAGTTCTCTCTCTCTCTCTCTCTCTCTCTCTCTCTCTCTAACTCTGGCTTTCAAATAAATACACATACCTTTTTAAAAATAACAACTGTCGAATTTCCGTGGTCATTATTTTCCAAGGACGTAGTCAAATAAAATGATTAGGTGAATTTAATAGAAAAACAACAAAGGTAAATACCATCAGGGCAATCCTTTTGCTGAATAAACATATAATTCATATGAAAGTCCCACAATTTTTAACCTGTCGTTCTTCATGTCACATACTCTCAGTACCACATGAAGTTTTCTGGCAGCATCAGCCAGCAGAGAAATGCAACTGAAGTGTAGTCTTCTGCTTTGCATACTTCGATGCAGCATGTATATCTACTTCTACTCCCCAAGACAGCAGTCAAGCAAACTCCCTTCTCAGATAGCAGGGGTGGGAACAGGACACAGTGGTTTCATCCTTAATTACCATTAGCTTGCTTAATGGGTCTTGCTGATGATTCAGGAGCATGAACTTCACAGGAGAATTTCAGTGAATTTTCACATAGTTATTCTTCCTCTCTGGCAAACATATGCAACCTAACACAAAAGAAATGTCTTATTTTTATCTTTTCCAGTCTCTTCTTTGTTAAGTAATATGTTTCCATTTATTAAAAAAAGGAAGTAATAGTTTTTTTTTTTGTTTTTTTTTTTGTTGTTGTTGTTTTTTGGGTACTTGAAACTACAAGGCAATGAGCAAGTATGTGTGCGTCCCAGGTTGGTGTTTGACAACACCATACCCTTGAGTTTCCAGTAAACCCCAAGCCAGTCATTCTCTGTGGTGAGCAGAATGTTGTTTGGTAATCTTAAGAATGCATGTCCTCAGGACAGAAATTCTATTCTGTGTTACAATGCGTGTTTCTCAGCACCTGGACACTGAATCCAGGTGTAGTTTATGTACCTACAAGGAATAGTCATAAAGATTTATGAGCAAATTGCAATTTATAGATGTTACCAATTCAAAACTTTTATGTAACTGTAAATAATGAAATTTAAAGTAAAAAAAATTTATTCTATAAATCAGATTAGTACAAGTATAAAATTTGGGAGTTTTAGCTATTTCAATTTTAATGCAATACAAAAATCTATTATAAATGTAAAATCAGTTGGTTCACACATATTCAAATACAATCTATTTCAGACAGGTTTCACTAAACAGGATGTGACATTAAATATACATTTATTTAAATGTAAAATCAATTCAACTTTAAAATATATTAGATCCTCAGAGAATTTTAATATATTTAGTATAAGTCTTTTTTACATCATACCATATATCAAGTAGTAAGTAATTATATTTAAAATATAACACATTCTACTGTTCTATAGCATATTGGAGTAACTATAGTTTACAATAATTCATCATATATTATATAAAGAACTAGAAGAGAGAAGTTCAAAGTTTCCCACAAAAAGTGATAAATGCGACCTGGTTTGATCAACAGTTATATATGCATTTATTAAATTAATCACAGTGTATCCAATAAGTATGTGCAATTATGTGAAAGTTAAATATTTTCATTTTAGAAAATTAATTTTTAACATTAACAAGGCTATATTCTCAGTAAATCTCACAGGAAAAAACTACTAAAATTCTGGAGTTCAATGAAAACTCTATCAAGGACGATAATGTTTGACTCTAATATCTTTATTGGGGGGGTGGAAGTTATCTCTTTCTCTCTATCTCTCTCTGAATTCGTGGCTTTCAAATAAATACACATACCTTTTTAAAAATAATGTGTGTGGCGTAGTGTATTAAGCCACCGCTTGCAACAGCAGCTTCACACATAGGCCCCCGTTCATGCGCCGGCTGCTCCACTTCCAATTCAGCTCCCTGATAATAGTCTGAGAAAGCAGCAGAAGATGGCCCAGGCATTTGGGCCCCTGCACCCATGTGGCAGACTGAGAAGAAGCTCCTGGCTCCTGCCTTTTGTGTCCAGCTCTGCTCTGGTTGTCGCGGTCACTAGGGGAGTGAATCAGAAGATGGAGCACCTCTCTCTTTCTTTCCCACTCTTTCTATCTCTGCCTTTCAAATAAATAAATAAACCTTTTTTTAAAAAAATCTTTATTTAGGATTGTCATGACAAATGTCAATGTTTTTGAATATATATCTCACTTTAAATCAAACTGGAATTAATGAAAAATGACTGAATGCATTTATTTCCACTTACATATATTGGTTTCAATAATTCTATAACTCAAGATTTTTTAAAAAAAAAATATGCTTATTTGGGGCCACCACTGTGGTGTAGCAGATTAAGCAGCTGCCTGGAGCTCCAGTATCTTGTATGGTCTCCAATTAGAGACCTGGTTGCTCCACTTCCAATTCAGCTCAGCTAATGGCCTGGGAAACATAGGATGTCCCAAGTACTCAGGCCTCTGCACCCACGTGGGAAACCTGGATCCTGGATCCTGGCTTCCGCCTGGCCCAGTCCCAGTCATTGTAGCCATTTTGGGAGTGAACCAGCTAATGGAAGCCCTCTCTCTCTCTTTCCTTCTCTCTCTATCCCTCTCTCTGTTACTATACCTTTCAGATAAATAAAATATATCTTTTAAAAAATTGCATTTATTTAGTTTTTGAAAGGCAGAAAGAGACAGAGACATTCTATAAACTGATCATTGACTCCTCAATGTCCACAGTAGCTACAACCAAAGCCAGAACAAAGCCAAGAGCTCAGATTCAATTCCCTATGCGGGTTACCAGCATCCAAATACTTTAGCCATCACCTGCTAACTTCTGGGGTGTGCAGTAGCAGGAAGCTGGAATCAAGCTAAAGCTTGAAACAAGGCACTTTGATATGGCAATTAGGACACTCAAATGTCATCTTACACACAGTGACAAATAGGAAGCCCCAGATTTTGATTTTCAACAAGCAATTGTTTTTACCTAATATTAGGCTAATAATTAAGAACATGAAAGTGGTTTATATGGTCTTCATTTTCTTCTTACAAGCACTGAGTTTATATGGATGACATCAAATCATAAGTGAAAAACTATTTTCAAATGTATTTTAATTTAAAACTTTGATTTAATAGTGAATATACATCAGATTTGCAACTAATTTTATCACTGGCTAGTCATCAGATGTTAACATTTCATTTTTAAGAATGAGAATTTTGTTATTTGTATCAATTTCTATTTTAGCTATATAAAAATCAAATCTAATAATTGGAGCACCATTTAGCAGCTTTTAAGAGGTCCATATCCAATATCTGGGAACCTATGTTCATACCTGGCTCCGGCGCTTGACTCCAGCTTCCTACTCATGGACATCCTGGGAAGCAGTGGTTATGGCTCCAGCGGTTGTGTTCCTGTCACCTGTTTGGGAGATCTGCATTGAATTCCTGGCTCCTTACTCATCTCTGCTCAGCCCTTGCAATTTTGAGTATTTGAAGACTGCATTAAAGGATGGGACAGATGTCTCTGTCAAGTGAGTAAATTATATTAAAAAACATGTAAAATAAGTCACCTCAGTTTATAATATTTTATTTTCCTGGAAATATTTCTTTATTGAAAGCCAGATTTAGGGGCCAGTGCTGTGATGCAGCAGGTTAAACCGCTACCTGAAGGGCCAGCATTAAATATGGATGCCGGTTAGTGTCCTGGCTACTCCACTTCAGATCCAGCTCCCTGCAAATGTGCCTGGGAAAACAGCAGAGGATGAGGATAACCCAAATGCTTGAAGCTCTACACCACAAGGGAGACCCGGATGAAGCTCCTGGGTCCTGACTTTGACCTGGCCCAACCCCAGACAATGTGGCCATTTGGGGAGTGAATCAGTAGATAGAAGATTCTCTCTCTCTCTCTCTCTCTCTCTCTCTCTCTCCCCCCCTCAACCTTCTTTCTCTCTCCCCGTGTCTCTTCCTGTCTCTCTGTAACTCTGCATTTCATATAAAATAAATAACTCTAAAAAAAGAGAGAAAGCCTACTTGAAGGATAGCTGCTTTGTAAGTTCTTGTAAATCCCTGGGTACAAAGTGTCATGGACTATGATTCAATTCTTTATTTCTCTCTTTCCTCCTTTACTTTCCTTATCCCGCAATCCCTCTTTTTTCTTTCCTTCCCTCTTTATTTTGTTCCTTCTTTCTTTTATTAGCTTCAATTTTCTACTTTGAGAGAGCCTCTGACCCCCATTTTGTGTTTTGTTGTTTAAATTTCACTTCAGGTCATTTACTGAAAGCTGCTAGATTAGATCAGAATGAAGATCTTTCGGATAATGACACACACATAACTTGGAACCAGTGAATTCATCGTGCTTGTTTCTGTGGAAAAGAAATTATTTTCATTCTAACTTATTAGTCAAGATGAATGAGTATGACACCCTGTTTATCACCAAAAATAAATGCCATTCTATACTTGATAGTGGTGACCTAGAATATGAAGTCTGGTTAAGTTCACCAAAGATTTGTACCAAAAATGAATGCAACTCTTTTCTTTTGGTAGTGAAAGGCATTTTCTACGTATGCCCTCTCCTACTGTCTGGATGATACAGAGGCTAAGCTTGAAGATTGATATAATTTAAATCCAAATTTATTTTCTCTAAAGATTTTCTTAGTAACTTTCTCAAGGCAGAAGTTAGTAGCCCCTGTAAGTTTATGATTCAGGTATACAAACTCTCCAAGAGAATTTCTCACCTACCCTCTATCCTTAACAAAGATATGTGCCCTGATGCAAAATAACCTTGTCTGTTCTTTATATCTAGTATTTTCTTCTTTAAATAAAAATGTTGTGTTTTTATGAATGCAGATAAAGGAAGAGAAGGAAGATAAAATGTTTTGGATAATTCTGTTTTATTCAATCATGTGTGTTGTTTCACTAATTTAAATCTCACAGACATCTATAACAAAATAATTTCCAAAATCACATCCCTAACTAAATTTTTGGTATATATATGAACTTTGCATTTTAAATTTATCTATTGCTAATGGTTGTTTGCTTTTCTCATTCAAGAAACAATTATGGCCTTGTGTCCATGATATATGCACTCTTAGTAACAACTGACAATTCTCCAGGATTACATTGTTAACATATATTTTATTTTAAACACATGCACACTTGCTTGTTTGTATTGCAATCTTTCCACTTCACTATTTGCCCACACAATGACATTTCATAGAGAAAAGAACAACTGCACATAACAGTGTCAAGATATATGTCTTTCTAAGATCCTTAGTAGATTTTAACAGCCCCAAAACACTAAAATATTGGTGATCATAATGCATTTTTTTCTTTGATTGCCAGCACAAAAGAACATTCCTTATAAACTGATGAGCTAAAAAGTACTGTATGAGTATATGTAGATGTCTCATTTTGTGAAGGTATTCTGAATGTGTAGTTACAAAAC